TCCTGCTGTTCCCACTAAGTTATTCCCTGTTACACACTCAGGGGGGTACTTGCTGACTTGGCTTTGGCCCCCTGTTGTGGCTGTTTACATTGCCCAGTGCAGCTGATGGAGGAGAAGGGGAAAAGGGGCAGAAAGTTGCTAATTGCTCTTGTCTGCCCCGTACCCACCGCTGGGGGCACCGGACAGGGCACTTGGGCAAGGTCTCCATGGACACCTGTGGGCAGGGCATGTCTGCCGAGCAGATGGGAAGGAGTGGGCAGTGAGGGATGGGTGGCTGAGACTGGGATTGTAGGGGGGGTAGTGCAAGGCCTGGGCCTGGGCCAGAACCACAATCTGCTCCCCGAAGTTCCTGTGATGGGCATTGGTTCTGCAGCTCCCCTGGGCAGTGGATGTTGGGTGGATGGGCCACAGTGCTTGGGCAGCGGGGCTGGGGCTGGCGACAGCGGATATGCTGGAAGTAGCAGCTGGAATGAGTCACTACTGCGGGGGCTGCCAGGAAACCAAGTCCAGCCACTGTGCCACCCCCACCCCACTGCTGTGCTGCCTGGCCCTGTGAACTACAGCTTCCAGCGTGCCTGAGAGCCATGTGTGAGGATCGGATGGGCTGCACTCAAATGCCAGGTGGCACCTCTGCAGCCCATGGGCGGCTACATGTGCCATGGCCTGGGATGCCCACCATGCCTGGGATGGCTGGGTAGGGCTGAGGGACCTGCCACGGGCTGGATCTAACCTGTGAGGGCCATATTTTGCCCACCACTGCCCCAGAGGGAGTACCTGCTGGTCTTTCCTGGGTAGTTTAAGGGGAAAGCATTTACTTTCTTACTTTGTCATGTGGAACAGTTTATTTTTCCACCAGGGCCATGCCCTGCATTGGAGATTGGGAGAGTGGGGGAGCATGATTCTGTCCAAATTTCACCACCCTTTCTGTACTGTAGCACAATCAGATAATACTCTGCTTGATATTTATGAAGCTATGCAAGGGGGTGTTCTTTTTTTCTCCACGTCCACCTGCTGCACATCCATGCAAGAGCTAGTTTAATTATGATCTCAAGATACAAATAGTATCATGATCCCTTTAGATGTGCACTTGTGACGCCAATGAGTGTTGCATATCTGCAGTTAGTTAGAAAATGGGAATTAAGAAATGTGTCATATCTTTTATAAAATTGAAATAATTTCAAAGGAGACTTAATTTTTCTATTTGGTCAATTGGTTAACAAATATTTACTTAAGAATTCTATTTTTCTGTAATGCATTTTATTTTATGTTCAAAAATAGATATTGTTGGTAGAGGAATTACATTTTGCATGTTCAGCCTCATGATTCATTATCCATCCATGTGTTCTTTGCTGCTGGAATAGTAGGTTTTGGTGTGTTAGATAAGGAAAAGGTTAGTTCTGATTTCTGGGCAATTTTATATTTGCAGAAAAAATGCTGATCTCCAGTCCTTCTGTATATCCCTGTCCCAGAGTGAAAATTACCTTCTAAATTGTAGGGAGAGGAGAGATGCGTGTTTTGTTGGGATGCGCATCTTAGTTTAAAAAAAAAAAAAATCCTGGGTCAAACCCCAAGTCAGTTATGTGCCAGGCTTAAAAGAATCCTACATGTATGTATGTATGTATTTATTTATTTAACATCAGATTGTCAGGGTTATTTCCTGCATCATGAAGGCTAGACTTATAAATCTATTTTGGAAAATAACATTCTTACATGATCACAATGGTAGAAACTGAGGCAGGAAGAAAAACAGGGAATGGGAAAAGACGTGTCAGAATACCAAACTGCGTGGGTGGTGTTGGTAGGTGGCAGGTTGTTTCTAATAGAGCTGCCTTCCTTACAAAAGACTGGTATAGCTAAATCAGTGGTAGGGAAAAGTTCCCTACTGCAGACTATTCTGAACAAGAATAAGCATCTGTTCCTGTAGGGTCCTGGGATCTCTGGCAAGACTTGGAAAGGTGGTGAAGGTGCTTTGCACCTTGTCTATTTGGACCATGAAGGGTCAGTTACTGGTGTGTTTGTTCATGAGCAGGCTGGTGAGGGAGGAGAGGGAGATGCTTTTTGGGTTTGTAATATGTGCATAGAGGAAAGCAGCAGTGCCTGTGGGCTGGGATGAATCTTTGAGTTGAAAGACCCATAAATCCAGCAATACTGATGAACTCTGAATAGTATTGGCAAAAGTCGGACTCATTCCCAATGTGAGATGCTCCTATAATTGGAAGTGACAAGGCAAAGCAGCAGCCATCACACCTGGCAGCTGGGTTCTGTGCATGTGTGTGAGAGAGAGAGAGGCCTGCTCTCCAGAGAAGAAAAAGCAGCAGCAGCAATTTGTGCTCTTGGGAATATGGAGTTGATTACAGACATCAGAACTGACAAAGACAGGTGAGCAGGGAGGATTTTGCGCTGCTCTTTTTTTTTTAACAAAGTCATACTCTTCTGTTTATTTTCTTGAGAATCAGTGTCTATAAAATTAATGGGGTGTGTGTGGTGGGAAAGGCTCTTAAAATGATTGTTACCCTCCTGAGTCTACAGTTTGATATTCATTAATGACCAGCTTCTGACCCGGTGGCATGGTTCTAAAACAGATTGAGATACATAACTGTAGTATTCACTGGGGAGCTGAGTCCAGCCCACAGCCTCCTGCTGTTCCTCCCAGTTTTCTCTTGTGCACCCATAAAAAAAATCAGGGATGATACAGGTTCCCATGGTGATAGCCTTTGGAGAGGAGGCTCTGTTGCCCAGTCATTACCTTCAAGGTCTTCAGGAGAAGAAAGAAAGTTCCTGATGAATTGGTGTCCTTCTTCTCCTGCTAGGGTTGAAACTGTTTTATGTACAGTGGCAGTTCCTATAGTGTAGAGAGGGACTATATTAGTATGTGAATGTTAGAGCAGAAATGCGGACCCAGCAATACAGCAGGTACATAATTTCCATTACCTGGCAGATCTGAATACCTAAAATGTGTGAGTATATTACATTCCAATATAAGTAAATTTTCCTAACACATCTAGATGACTAAAGAGCCTAGTTCTGTTTCCCATTTTCACTTATGGGTTAGATCCACAAAGAAATTTAGGCAACCAGGTCTAAAATGTACATGCCACTGGTGTTCACAGACTTCGGTGCTTCCTACCTCTGTATGCCCCTGGTTTTCTGCCACTGCACATACATAACTGTCTCTGGGCCAGATCAAATATAGAATTTTGCTGTAACACCTAACTTTTAGGTTTTGGCCCCAGATTAAAATCCACAGTACGTGGGGATAGTCAGGAATAGGCATAGCATGCAGGGAGCTGCATAGAACTTGCCAATAGGGGACCCCTGTGGCAATGTTGTGCCTGAAGTCAGGGCTGAAGGAAGGCATGTCTATCCAACTGGAATCTTCTTGACAAGAAGCACCTACAACTGTTCTTTCAAATGGCTGGAGGAGGAAACAGCTGCTATTTTTTTAATAGCCTGGAGTTTTTCAACCTGTGGTCTGCAGACCCTTGTGGTCCACAAACTATGTTTAAGGGGTCCACAAAAGATTACTGTGATCAATCAAAAGTATGTGAATACCTGCACTTACAATTCAAAGGCATACGTACCTCCATTCAAAATTTCCAGAGGAGTTCTCCCCCTCGTTTGAAATTTTTTAGGGGGCCACAAATAAAAAAAAAGGTTGAAAACAACTGGTTTAGAACATGAAGTCAGGGAATGGGAGACCTGAGTTCAATGCCATTTGTCAGCTCCAGGAGAGTGTACTAACTACCATGCTGTGTTACATTTTGAATGGGAGCTTTCTCTACCCTGCTATTGAAGCTGTTCCACTCTACCACAAGGCACTAAGATTAATTGAGCCATGAATTTGTCACTTAGTGGTTAGGCCACTCACCTGGATTAGAGGAGCCCTGAATTCCTGTTCCTACTCCCAAAGCTACTTACACATTTTGTCCAATGACTTTAACGCA